ATCTTCCATCACTAATTCCTGTTTCCTATGTCTCATAGTGCCTCAGTCTCCATGAGCTGAAACTGATTCTTTAAGAAATGAGCATAACCACCATCCCATGCAGGGGTCGAACCCAGCAGCCTTGTTGTTAAGAGCACACGCTCTATCCACTGAGCCATTCGGGCAGCAGTTCAGCTCAAGGTGCTGAGTTCAGTTGTAGTTGCAGGTGGGCGTAGCCCACGCTGGTTCGACAACCGTATGAGATGGTGGCTATGCCCACCCACAACTAAGATTGAACACAGCACCTTGAGCTTAGAGGCCACGAGCTGCCTACGGGAAGCCAGATGGCAACTGGCACCCTCCACAACGAAGATTTAAGAACAACTTGTCTGTTCCCCTTCCCCAATTCCCCAACACTGTTCCCCTCCCCTAATTCCCCAATAAAATCTTAAAAAAAAAAAAAAGAAATGGAGAATGAGATTAAAGCTATGTTCCAGTCAATGTTCTTGGTTGCAAACAGAATCAATCTTAGTTAATTAACACACCAAAAAAATGTTTTGGAGGTGTAGAAACCCCTCCCCCGCCCTCCCTCTCCCCCCCCCCAGAATCAGTAGGAAGCCTGCAGAATCAAGCTTGAGCTGGCACAGATGAATTTGATCCATGGCCAAGACCTTGCATCAAGACAGTCTGCCTACGATGACATCTCTGGCCTTGACACCACTGGACGTGAGCCACCACATTCAGGGTTCTGTTGCCCTTGGCCACTCTGCTGGCCATTGACCTCTCCATTCCACACCAGTCACTTCTCATAATCTCTAATTTAACTTGTGCAATTGTGTCATCTTGTAAAGATCCCTACTGGTCCATGGGGAGAAACTATCTGCTTACCTTTTGGGTTCATAGACACTGCCTTCTCCCCATTTGGGGGCAAGGGAGAGGGGTGGATGTAGGGCAAAGGATTCATTTAAATGAAAAGTTCCAGTTTTAGTTCTAAAAAGATTAACCTTAGTGTAAAGAAGTGGAAGTAGGATCAGAGTGATCTGCTACATAGAAAAATGGCCTCTTAATTCTTTTCAATTTTCTGAATATGGTTTTTTTATTAATCATTAACCACTGAATTATAACATAAAATTGTACAATTATAATTAGTTATAAGTATATATAATTTGTCACGAAGTTATAATTCATAATTTATAATTGGCTTGGTTAAGCTGATGGTGATGCGACTGAATCTCTATGAAAAGATGGCAGAGCTATGCTGCTTGGTGTGAGCCTGCCATCTAGTGGCAAAATACAGTAATACTATCATAGAGATCATAGAGTGCTTGAATGGCAAGATTTGCCAGTTTTTCCCACTTTAGCAATTTTTTCCAATGTTTTGACCCAATTAACCATACATTGCTTAGGCCTTTGAAATTATATTCATGATATTCTATTCCATCCCTAGGTTAATTGCAAACTATAAATCTCTGAGAGCCCAACAGTATCTTAGCACGTACCCTAAACCAATTTCCCTAAGACTGATTTTATTTTACATGTGTCCATAAACAACATGTGATTTGAGCATGCTATAGTTCTCCTACAGAGAATACCTTGGCCACTATCATAAAAGTGCAATTAATGCTGGAGTCATTGATATGGACTGCTGATTTCCAAAGAGATATTTCCCCCAAAAGGAGATAAGCTTAGTTTAAGAAAACAATGAAACAGGATCTACCAGTATTTCCACAGATCACTCTAGTAAAGATGAGAGATTTGTAAGTAAAAGAGCAGACCTAGACCTCAGCTTCATTCCTGTCAGTCTTTATAAAATTTAGAAGGCAGCATTTGTCAAGTACCATACACTGGTAGCAAGATCAACACAATTTGTCACATAACTGAGAGTAATAAATTGACCTTACTTTCAAAGATGCAACCTCTGACAACACTTTCAAAAGGAAGGAATAAATATGAAGCAAGTGACCTAATAAAGTTTCTGGTAGGTGGTTTGACTGAAAAGATGAGATGAGGTTGGTATAGGCAGCAGGAAGAGAGGTCCATGCTCCCTAGCCACAAGGTGGGTCAGTGGGCCCGCTCTTCTTGATTCATATAATGGAAAAGAGAGTAAGTGAAAATTTTAATCTGGATCTGGAAGAAGGAGGGAAATTTGCAATATTAACCATGATGGCAAGATAGAGTTGAAGTTTGGGGGACTAAAGAATCTGGGGGACTGGTTCAAGGTCGATTTTGGCTAGAGGGCAAAGAGCAAGATTGAGTTTCCTTCATGGGAGCGGGATTCGATAACAGGGGTTTTGAAATTTTGAGAGGTTAATGACTGATGAATTAATGAGTGGGCAGCGCATCCAAGCCAAGGCCTGGTAAGGATGTAATTATGGTTCTTAGGGATTGGGTGGGCCGGGTAAGGGAGCCTTTCTCCTCTTCTGGGATGCTCCCCTCGCCCTCCCACCTGTCTGGCCATCCCCTTGCTCTTTTTCTCCTTAGTGCTGCCCTCTCCCTCCTTTGCTGTGTCTGACTCTTTTTCATAAATGACTGTATCAGTTTTATCAAAACGATTGCATTTAATTCACAATTTGTTGTAATTATCTAAAATTGGTGAGTTGAATCATCTGTACTTCTCTCTAAAGAGTTAAGTCTCTAGTGAAGATTCTTCTTGTCTATGACCTTCAAATTATTTCCTGTTGATACAGTCCTAAATAATAATAATAATAATAATAATAATAATAATAAAATCAAGGCTCTCTATTCCTAAAAAATAAAATTATCCTTCCACTCTCATCAAAGCCTACTGTCTAAGTATTGGCTTCTTACCAAAGAGCTCACATATGTGCATTGCATGCATGTGCTTATGCCTAATTAGTGACTGTGCAGGGATAAAACTTGTCATCGCGTGGCTTTTCAGAGAGAGGATTCTTCCTGAGCTTGACTTTTTTTTTTTTAAAGATAAGAGTGGTACCCTTGGAGAACTCAGTAATAGTACTACTCTTAAAGTGGTTAAGAATAGGTTGCAATTGTTTCACAAAGATTTATTATAAATGTGAACAAATAACATTTTAGATCAGTAAAAAAAATGTAGCCTCCTGCAAAGATGTTACACCTGCATATTCTCCCAGAAAAGTTAAGATGTGAAAACTATGCATTATAGAATTCTATTGCATTTCTAACCTCAAGACCTTGTAAGACTGTTAGAATAAAAGCAGCACAGGGCATTGTAGCATCTGCTATCTAAAGAGGCACAATTTGCACTTTCTTCCATTGAGGGAAATTGGATCCCTTACTTTTCACTCCTTAGTGTCTTGAGTGACCTTCAATCATGGATTTGCTCATCTCTGTGAGGGTATTTCAGTCCTGGCAGGGACTTTGATTTCTTGTTTTAGTCTCTTCTGATTGGGAGCATGAGGTTGACATCCATGGGAAAAATTACGATTTCCAGGGAAGTTATGTTTATACTGTTAATCTACCCTACAGGGTATCCAATAGAGGGCAAAATGTACTATGCCAAAATAAAGTGATTCCGTGGGACAAAAATATTCTCATTTCTATTATTTAAAGCCCACAGAAACTTGACTGGCATTTTCTATGTTTTTTTCTGATGGAAGGGCAAAGAGATTTGGATGTGTGTGTAATATAGTAACTATTTTCGAAGAGGTTAACTTGCTGTTTAATCGAGTCACAGAAAAATAATCGCCAACACATAAGAGCTTCGATTTCTTTGACTAAATTTACGCAAATCAGTGCTTTTTTTTAACTTTTATTTTCTCTTTTCATTCTCCATATGAATATTCTCATTCAACATGGTGGCTGTGTGGTGTACATGTATACATATCCATTCATGCTAAGTACAATCGTGCCCATTATACATAGCAACTATGTATATAATTCAGATACACTGCATTTACTGAGTTGTTTCCGTGCAGAATCAGGCGTTTTCACAATCAGATGGGCGGGGGGGGGGGGGGGGGTCTCTCAGAAGCATTCGTATTTTTTCCATTTCGTCCATCGTAAAACCAGGCCTTTGGTCTAACTACCTTTAGGATTCTTTCCAGGATTTTCAGCACCCAGTTCAGACCCAGCTCTGCGCTAAGTTTAGCACTGCCACCACACAAGACAACACTAACGCAGAAAAGGATAGGGAAAGGGGACACGGAAGGAACCCCCTACTCTTTGGAGGGGGCGGTGGGAATGGTGACTCTTAAGAGTCAGGAAACAACAGACGAGTTCAAATTCTCAGAGCATATAATTTGTGTTTCTAACTCCCGTGGTCTCTGGATTCACAACCAAAACCTTCCTCACTCCCAGCCCCTTTCACGCCAGGAGATGGCTCCGCACTCCCCTTAGCGGCGCATTCCGGCTTCCCCCCAAAAAAGCCGGAGCGTGAAGACGGTTCCCCGCCCAAACCGCACCGTCCTGCAGGGCGGAAAAGCAGCCCGGCGCTCGCCGCCCTCCGCCTGTTTACCGGGAGCCACAAGTGGAAGCGAGAATTTTCCAAGCAGCAGGCAGGAAGGGCCCTTGGCCGCGGCGCCTAAAGACTTTCCGGGGGCGCATTTACCCGGGTGGGCGACTTACTCCTACTTGCCTCGGGCAGGTGAGGGGTCCCGTCCGGAACGGCCATCTCCGGGGTCCACGCTATCACCTCCCCTTCCCCGAGGGCCTCTCGGCTCCAAGTGTGGTCGCTCAGGCTCCCTGAGCGGCGGGCGCCGCGGAGGGGGTCGCCCTCGCCCCCCACGCGCCCACGAGCGGCCCCGCCGACCTGCCTCGCGACACCCGCCTCCTCGGGTTCACCCCGAATCCAGGGCCCAACCAGAAGGCGAAGGGTCAGGGTGGGCACCTTCACTCCCACCGGGGCGCCCCTGGGCTGCCCGGCGCGGGAGGCACCGGGTCGGGAAGGGGACC